CCTGTCAAAATAATTTTCTAAACTCCATGGTAAATTAGTAATCTGGCGTAGTGTTAGTAGTTTCATTATCAAGGAATTCATCCTTAAAAATCTTGCGTACCAGATGAGCATATCAAGCCTTTTGCAAATGGCCCACTTGTTCAAAGACTTCGTCACGGACAGGGACACGGCCACCAATTTGACCAAACTCTTTGTCGTGAAGCTACCAATGGCCAGGGGTGAGGGTGAGCTTTTGACGAGGTTAATTGATCAGGGCCTAGCAACGGCTACTCACATTGGCGATAATTCCATTGAGTGTGGGTATAGGCCCAACACCCGTGCTGGCATTTCGACTTGGCAAGTTGATATTCTCAAGAAGCTGGAGAACGTGCAAAAGTAGTGTCAGATTGGATATGCAAAGAAATAATGAAAAGCTTACAATGCCTTCGAACTCTTTTCGTATTTCCTTCAGTACATTATTGACAAGAGTCTTGAATGATTTGACATGAGTGACTTTGGGATTCTTGCCGTACCCAGGTGGCAGCAACCGTTTCTTCCACTTGTCAGGATTCGACATGATTGAATCCTAATCACTGCCCAGAGTCAGTCAGTACAGAATATATAGTTCAGATAGAGGCTGCTTACCATGACAGTAGCATAAAGAGACAAGGGTAATGTGATCTTGTCTCCCAGCTTGTCTTTAGTTGCAGTATACGCCTGCAGGTCACCTCGCAAGATGTTCTTGGTCGCAATCTGGCGGAGTGATTTCGGTGAAGATATAAGTCAGCTAAGGCCTGTTCACAACACAAAAGTGGTGTCATACAAACCCAGAGTTCTATAGAATCTTCTTTGGCAAGCCATGGTGCAGCTGCCGCTGCAGTACCAGTACTAGCCGCGCCAGCAGGCATTTTAGAAACAAGATCCCTTAGCCCAGTGATTTGGCGGGTGAGTTCGTTGTGTATGGAGGTCATATTTTGGCGATTTGATAGACCTAGTGCCATGGAGGCCATGAAGCAATCCTCCGGAGTTCCAGCCTACAAACAAAAAGGAAGAGAAGACAAGACAGACTCAGTCAGTAGGGTCAAGACAAGGCATCAGCATGACTTACGTTGCATAACTGCCGTCCAAATGCTAAGTGATGATCATCGAGGTGCGCACGTTGAGTGTAGTAGTTGAAACTCTGTATTCTTGAACCCTGCAAAGGGGCAAAGCCACGAGGTATTATACGACATTGTTGGCCCGAGTTGTCGGTGATGGGGTGAATATCATTGCCGTGCTTGTTGACGTAATCATCTTCTCCATACTCGTGGCGTCCTCCTAGTGAAGTAATCAATCAGTAACAGTTACAAAATGACAGAAAGAAGAAAGGAAAAGGTTGATTACGAATATCACCCATAGGCTCCGGTCCAAGAAGACCATGAAACTGATTGAGTTTGAGTTGGGTTTCTTTTCCCCCATCAGATCGAGGCGCAGTAGCCTCACGCAAACCTTCACGATCATGGTTGTGTGAGGGAGTGGGTGTGGGAGTCGGAGTACGAGGCGGCGTAACCTTGCGTTGTTTACCTTTGGTAGATTGATTTGCCTTTCTTGCTTGACTCTTCGATTTGCCGGAGGTCGGTTGGGTTTGCTTTGCTTTCTTTACAGAAGTGATTTGCTTTGTTTTGGTCGCCGGCGTGGTTTTGACGTGCTTTGAAGAGGTTTCTTCAACTTCAGCTGCTGCCTGGGTGCGCTCGCTGACGCGGCGCTTGTTCAAAACTTGAGAAGTTGATGGAACCAGAAGCCGAGCCGCATTGGAGTTTTGCGTCTGGCTCTTTGGAGGCACGGGGAAAACCCATTGTTGGCGTTGAGACATCGGAAGTTCTGAGAAAGGGTGGAAGTTGGGGTGTGACGATGACAAAAGTGACAAAGACAAGATGATCGAGGAAAGCCAATGAAGGTTTCAGATTCAGACAACTGTCACTCAGTTGCTTGTGACAGCCGTGTGTGACACACGGTTCATTTTGAGCACATCATGAAAATTTGACAAGGTCCTTTCGGAATATCTCAAGCAGAATAGCACAATGATAACAAGAACACCTTGATTGCATTTCGTTTTTAATCATAATGAGAATGTAAATAAATCCTCCACAAACATTATATATCAATACCAAATAAAGAAAAGTGAATGTGTTTCAGAAATTAAGAATAACAGAAAAGCACATTAAAGGACATCAAAAATTGAAACCGTCATTATTGTTATCTCCGTTTCTTTTGCTTTGTATTTGAAGGGCCTGCCACTGGTCCAGATTGTTGCTCTGCTTCCCCAGCGTTGATATTTCCCTTTCTCTTCTTACTGGTCTGCACATTTTGTCTTTTTTCTTCTTGGTCCTTTTGTTTTTGTTCCTTCAGTTCCTTTTGATCTTGTTTTTTCCTCAACGAAGCTTCCCAATTGTTTACACCAGTTGATATCGTGTCTCTCCATTCTGAGGGACTGACCGCGTTAAATCTGATAATTGGCCCATAACGATGTAGTTCTGAAGAATAAAAGGCAGCCGAGTTTAGGACAAAGAATGCTGTCTCTTCGTGAACGACAACAAATTCCCGTAGTGTTGAAACTCGTCTGTCAATCATCACCGGCCTGTCCTTTTTAACAGTGCAGCCACTTTTGTGGCAGTCGTGTTGTATATTGAGTATACCCTCAATGTCCTAACCCGGTCAAAGTCAGTCCCACATCCTTATTATTGAGAGGAATCCACACAGAGCCTTACCGTTGGATTTATCCACACCTTTGAATCCGTTTCTTGAATTTTGTGCATGCCATATAGATCACTGACTGATCCAGTCTTACACCTTGACACTTCGATCTTGCACTTGTGCGCCGATGAACCCCCAGCAATCCATATTCTGTTGACCCTGCCAATCATCTTGTTTGACATAAATCTTGTGAGCAGATGTTGTGATTTGACCTGAAAGGCGTGGTGGAAGGTTAAGAGACATCATTGTGAAAACCTTGAAGGTTGTGTTTATATGAGATGGCTCAGAAGAAGGAATATACCGAAATGAAGTCACCTCCTCCAAAAGATCGGCCATTCTTCAACGTAAGTGAAGCCAAAAGGTTCCATTTCTTAGACGGATCGGCTTCCAAAATCGCGTTAGGGATGTGTGACTCGGGATCTGAAGGTCGTTATGGGTGAGCATCTATAATGAAGAGCGGAATCAGCATGTCTGTTAATCTGTCAATCAAAATGAATGTGCTGTGTCTCACATCCACTTTTGAAATCTTTTGGTTCATTCCACTTGGAATTATAGCCTAGCGCCTTTTGAAACAAGGTATTAGTTTCGAATAATTCAATGAATTTACTTCCAGCACGGACGTAACAGTCCAGATTCTTGTCACGGTTCAGACAACCTGCTGTGATTGATCTAATCAATTGGTGATTATTGAATGAATTTGCAATGTCTTTGCTAGGACTCAAATGATTTGAATGAATTGAAGAATTGCGTGTGTTACCGTTGTATCCCTCAAAGTTTTCAGTGGCACACAAGCATGCAGGACCGTACCGTTCAATGGATTCGCAGATGTGGATCAGCATATGGAACTTTGGTTTGTTGCACCATTGAGCCGTCAATTGTACAATTGACCGAAGTAACCTTTGAATTAAGATGCCGAGTTCCTTGAGGTATGACTTCATGTCAGAAATCTCGGTCTGAAATATATAGGGTGCCAAGTGGGATAATGTTGTCCAAGTTTCACGTTCTTCTTCGGATAATGAACATTGAAAAAAAATGGACGGCACCGCTTGGAGTACTGTGCGGAACTCCTTGCCAGTCATACCAAGAAAGTGATTGATCATGGCCTTGGGCTGGATCGGAGGGATATTCAACCCAGATGTCTTGAAAGATTGCCAACGACCCCAAATGTCGTTCTTTTTGCTAGCAGAGCAGCTCTGCATCTGATGATGTAATAGGTATTTTGCCACGCCCAACAAAATAACGTGCAAAATTTCCACAGGTGTATCTTGATGGCCATTGAATCCTACACCACAAAGGTTAGCCAATCAACGAGTTCAATTTAAAGAGAAAACTTTAAATTCCTCCTGACTTACCTTTTAAACGCAGAAAGGGATTGAACAAGTGCTCCCCAAATTTTTTGTTGAGGTCGTCACACATGTCGCGCATCTCTTCATTTGAGTACTTCTTAGAACGAAACCATTCTTGCACGCGTTTAGCAAATGTTGCATTAAGGGTGTCTCGAAGACCCAGCCATCCTGACTCAGTGTCGAATGCGCTGATTGTTCCTGGGTGTTGCACCAGTGTCCAGAGGTGGTGTGTACCTTCCTTTGTCGTTGACCAGCTCCGCGCAGGCAGACACAACTGTCATTCAGAAACGTATTGGAAATCAACAAAGGTGGGAGAGTTTTCTGAATGACGGAAAAGTACCTTGTATCCATGTTCATCAACACCAACAAAATTACTGACATATGTCGCGGACCTTTTCTTAAGCAAGGTTTCAACCTTCAAGTCACAAACACGACAGGGAGATAAAGAAACTGTTGGGTTCATGGTATTGGTGACCTCCGCATGCATTGGAGAATCACCCAAATGACACAGTACAGCAGTCATTACCAAGACTTCTGTCTGTGTCTGATGATCATGGGCCACAAATCCATGTGTTGAAATATCACTGGACCCCACACAGACGCGATGCATTAATTCCCATCATCACGAAATGAAAGGTTACAAAAAGCAGAAACAGCTTACTTGAGTTCATCTACCACAGGGTCGGCTAACTCTAACGCTCCGGCGGTGTTTGATGTTGTCAAGAAATGGCAGTTGTATTCTTGATTAAATAATTATGGAGGCAAGCCGGCCAATGTAAAATAGAACGCAATGTGCTTGTTCCACCGTTTTGATATATTTCCGGATAGATTGTCGCAATACAAAACAATCGGAACATGTCGTATCAGTTTGCCATCAGCCTTTTTGCGCCACGGATTCTGAAGTGGCACTTTCAAAAACTTTCCTGCCCCAACATCCTCTGGGGGGCAAATTGATAAGTACAAAGTGGAATATTCATTGACTATTGAATAAAAGCTCACCATACATTGAATCACCACAGAAACGCTTCATTGAGACATCATTGTGTACTTCAATCTTATCAAAAGCTTTCAAGAACTGCTTCACATTGATTCCTGATAAGGCCGGCGAGTCGAAATTCGTAGCTGATGCAAAGCACAAGCGTCTATGTGGGTTGCCTTCCTGATCCTTTGAAAAAGATTGGTGTGCAACGGCACATTTTGCAAAGATCTCTGTCCCCTCTCGATGGAAAAATTGTGGAATGACAATAGATTTGGAAAGAAGTTGAACAGGTTCGAATATATAGAAATGTCCTTGTGGTAGATCAATCATCTGAAGGCGTAGATCCCTGTCAAGCTCTTCCCTCCATTTCTTTGACTGAGCTAGGCAATTGATTTTGGATGTCGTGCTTGGTAATTCGGGAATGAACTGCAAATGCTCAGCAACATGAGGATTGCCTAACTCTTGTGATAGGGTTTGCTTGACTTTTAACGCAAAACAAGGTGTCCCCAAAGGGCTGACACTTTTGGAAACATCAAACCCATAGCGTTTCTTCAGTTTCTCACAAACGTTTCAAAGGCTTTTGTGTCCAGGCAGGTGAATGTCCAAGAAGCCAATAAAAGATCAGACATTTTTGTATTCGCTGACTGTCATTGTTGTCCGGGTGGTTCCCAGTACCAATAAACCAACAATTTGCTCTAAACTTGAGAAAGGTGCCCAAGGTGACTTGTTATCATCCACGATTATTTCTCGTGCTGAGCTGTCTGACAGATGATCTGATCCTCCGCTTCTGAGATGTGGGTCGTCGTCCTCATCGTCATCGTTGATGTGATCATGATTTCGAGACAAGTTTTCAAAAACTCCAGATTGATCTTGGGTCCAAAGATCCATGATTGTATTTTGGCGCGAGTTATATTGTCTTCTATCTTCTTTGTCTTCTGAGTCTATGATTTGAGCCGCAACAATTGGACTTAAAAACTCCGGGTCCAAATCTGGCTCAGGTGAGACGTTCGAGTCGGTATCCTTGTGATCGTCGTTTGGGGATGACGCGGTGATTGGACAAACATTCCATTGGCGGAGATTTTCTAAATGACTTTGGTTTTGACAGTGCCTTCAAACCGAAGACAGCTTGATGTTGCGGTTTCCACCGCAAGCAAGGCACAGAATAACCCCTGGAAGACTGTCAACTTTGGTGAAGCCTGGTGGCAGATCTGTGAGGATAGGGTATCCTTTTGGAGTACTCTAAGCTCACTAATGGGAATTCAGATGGGTCTCTTTATTTTAATATATGTATTTCAAATAGTAATTTGTAAATACAATAAGAATAAAAGAGTAAAAAGAAGGAAGGAAAAGGACCAACAGTCTGTTTGGCTGAATCCAGACAGACTTCAGTTAGGTGACTCCTTAAGGAGGAGGTTTGAGTATAATTTAATAAATATTATGATATGAGAAGGCTGGATCCAAAGCCTTCCTTTAATCTTTAAGGTACCAGATTAAAGAGTGAGGTATAGAGTCACTAATCTGGTTGTTACAAAGTCACCAACTTATGGTTGATCACAAGGTACACCAACCTGAGAGTTGATATAGGTCACTAACCTACGGTTGTTCAGAAGGTACACCAACCTGTGAGTTGATATAGGTCACTAACCTGTAGTTGTTCAAGAGTTAACTAACCTTGAAGTTAATTGGAAGGTCACTAACCTAGAGATGTTCTACTTAGGGGAAGTAGCGGATCCACAAGGGGGAAGGAAGAGATTACTTTATCTTTTAGTCAGGAAGCTGCTTTAAATATATGAA